CACACCAATATTTTATTCTAGTTCTGTTATTATTTTTTATACTTAGTACTTTAATTTCTCTAGAATAATTTTTGCAGAATGTATGAAGTCAATATTTATTATTTGTTTATTTCTAAAGCAGACACCTCTGTTTATCTTAATACTAAAACTTTTACACATTTGAAATTAACATTCAGAAATTGAAAGAATAAGGAAGCTAATCTTGTGTGAAATTAGGTCAAGATTTGGTTAGATACTAAATTAACACATAAGGGAATTGAATGTGTTTAATTGTTTTCTTTCACCACAGGGAACATGTTGTATAAAGAGCATGGTTTTATAATACTTGAAAAGATTATTAGGACAAATGATGTGTTTCACTAGTGAAGTGTTTTTGTCTATATTTTGATGATATGAAGTAGTAAATATAAAAGTAAATTATTTTTAAAAACATAGAAACTGACACAAAAGCTTACTCTTAGTCCACACTTTAAATTACTCACACCTGTTATCTTTTTCCATGGACTATATAGAACAAACCTTCAATTCCTAGAGACTATTTTTTAGGGGGTTAGGGAAAACACAAAAATTATGTTAGAAAGTCTCAATTTTTATTGTACCATTAACTGAGTGATATTGTCATAAGAAAATATTCAGAGCATTTTTGAATGATGGCTTTAGATATGTTCTATTCTATTAATAATGATTTGTTATTAAATATACAAAGTGTAATTTCTCACCAATTTTTTAAGGTAAGAAGAAAAGCTAATAGTTTTCCTTTTTAAATTAACTTACTTTGCAAAATGTAATACATTTACGTTGTTCAAAAATTTAAAAGCACAGTGAAAAGTCTCCCACCTCATCCGTCTACCATCTGACATACCCTCACCAATCATTGATTTTAGTTCCAGAAATATATGTATAAATAAATTTTCAGAAGTAAAAGTTCTGGTTCAAAGGTTATACATATTTGATAGGCATTGCCAAACTGTCTTCCACAAATCTGTGCACCAATTGATACATTCCACCAGCCATATAGAAGAATCTGCATTTTCCCACAGCCTTGGCAGCATAGTGTATTTTCAGACTTGGGTTTTTGCCAGTGCAATAGATGAAGGTCTAATTCTTCATTTCTCTCACTATGACCAAGGCTAAGCTTCTTTTCTTTAAGAAAATTCATTTCTATTTTCTTTCCTGTGACTCTGTCTTTTATCCAACTTTCTTTGGATTTGTTTGGCTCTTTTTTCATATTAATTTGCAGAAACTCTTTTATGTGTTAGGAAAATTAGTCCCTTACCTTATCTGACATGTGAAGATGTGAATCACAATTTTTTTTTTTTTTTTTGCATTTGTCTGTCTTTTGACTTTGCCTATAGCTTCCTTGGTCATACAGAAGCTTGTGATTTTTATGTAGTCCAGTTTATTAATTCTTTTTTTCTGTTAAGCAAAGTTGTTTAACTTGATACAATTTACATTTTTATTGCTTCTCACACTGAATTTTTTTGGGCTTTTTTTTTTTTTTTTTTTTTGCATTTGTCTGTCTTTTGACTTTGCCTATAGCTTCCTTGGTCATACAGAAGCTTGTGATTTTTATGTAGTCCAGTTTATTAATTCTTTTTTTCTGTTAAGCAAAGTTGTTTAACTTGATACAATTTACATTTTTATTGCTTCTCACACTGAACAAAAAGAAATTAATACTGCATTTGGAAAGTATCTTTAATTCAACAGATATTTATTGAGGGTCTATCATGTGTAGGAACCCAGCTCATCCAGAAATCAAAGCTCAGTGAGGGGAGGTCAATGTAAATAACAAATTAAATAGTGTGAGGTAAATGTTATCATGGTGGAAGTACGAGGTCTGTGAGGATATACCTAATGCGACATCATAAGCTGAAAACTATGTCTTATTAAAAGCTCATTTTACTATTCCAGATATTAGTCAAATCACACCCACTGCAGTGTTTTCTATCAGGAATTGTTCTGCCTGTATAACCAGGAGTGGATGGATTGGGAGGATAAGAAGGAAACCAACAATATTAGTTAAATGCTGTGCAGATTTCTGTGCTTATATATGAAGCCTAAATGAAATGTAAACTATTCTGTGATCAGATAAAAAAGAGTTCATAGCTCAATTTTAGAGATTTGGGGAAAATATGATGGCTATTATCTCCAGTAGGTTTAGAATCGAGAGGCTTTTAGATGCTGTTAGTTGCAGCTGTAAAACAGTTTTTACATGTACTTGTGAGTAGAAAATGATCCAATAAAAATAAAATGTTTAGTTATCTCCTTTTAAATGCTACAAAAATAAGTTGAGAGCATTATTATATTACGTATTACAGACATAGAATTACATTTGTGATATCATCTCTCTCTCTCTCTCGCACACACACACACACACACACACACACACACACACGAGTTCAGCACTACAGACATAGTTATGGATTTGAACTCAAGAAACACAAATAGGCACAATTCATCTAATGTTATGTTCACTTGACTTTATAGCAGGATACAAGTCAGGAAAAGCAGATATAGTATCATGATTCATTATTCACGGAAAAACATTCCATATTACCTGAGCATTCTTCTTCTTTTGCCCCTTCACCTACCCAGGGAAATGCTGCCGGGGTTGAGAGCCAAAATGTGTGCAGGCAGTCCTAAATACGAGCCACCACCTCTAATTCCCATCAATCTTTTGCACCATTTTAGTCACATAGACACAAGGCCTGTATTCCAACTCACAGCTCCCCCTATTGAGGTGCAGATTCACACAACAAAGGCAGGCCCAACATTCCCATTCATCTGAAAGTTAGTGCTTTAAGGAAACATTGCTGTGGGAATCTAAGGTCAGTCCCAGGGTGGCCTGCATCAATCCATGCTGGATGTTAACCCTTTACTCATGCACTGACATGCATTTCACACAACATGGGTAAATGTATTTACAACATGTTTCAATGTACACATTCTTTGCATAGAATAAGATCCTGGGTAAAATTTCTTCCTCTATAAATTAATTGATTGGTTATTTTGTCCATAAATGTTTTTGTTTTTTTTAACCCACAACTCTTGGGTCCAATTAAAGAATATAATATTCATTAGTAAGTCCTTTAAAAGTGTCTAAAAACAATTGTTCCAAAATATGTGGTACTGTTTAAAAGATGCACTCGTATATTAGTATGCTTATTTAGTTTACTTTCAAAATATTCTCCTTCATTATTCATAATATCATAAGATTATTATATAATAGATTTTATTATATAACATTTTATTTGTATTACAATGAACTATTATACTTATATTATTAGAATGGTATTATTAATAATATCACAAAGAGTTGCCATTACAAGTTTACATTCTTTATTCTTAGGTACTGGTTTTAACCCCTGATATTCTAAAAGAAAGTGCTTTATTCTTGATTATCCTGGCTCTTGATTTACACTTAAGCTTGAGTAATAATTGCTAACATTTAATAACTTTTTTGTTATTTGTTATCATACAGAGTATTGCTCAAAGCTATTTTCATGGATTACTTTTACTTTATTGAATCCTTATAGTAACTTTATGAAGCGGGTACTATCGTTGTCCCCAATAGATAGAGAAGGCATTTATAGTTAGAGAAAACTTGCCTAAAAAGTAAGAGCTGGGACCAGGATTTAGATCCAAGCAGCCTAACCCTAAACCCCACATTGTTAACACTGTGTCGTACTGCTTCCCAAGCTAGTAAACGTTTCTCAACCCCAATGTCATAATCACGTATAATACTGGAACAACGATAGTACCTATAGCATAGAGTCATTGGATAGATTGATGAAACGAATAAATGTGAAAGTCCCAAGCATGATTCTTGGTTAGTATTAAGCTCTTAATAAAAATAACTTACAGTCATTTTGTTATATTCTACTCTAATCCAAATGTTCTTTTTACTTTTCTTTTTTTTAATTGAAACATAGTTGATTGTACATATCTGTGGGGTGCAGATCAGAATATCAATACCTGTGTGCAATATGTGATGCTGGAATCAGGATAATTAGTATATTCAACATTACACAATATAATCATTTTTCGTGGCTCTTTCCCAATTCCTCCCTTACCCCCCTCCCCCTCCCCATTTCCCACCTCAGGTAATATCAGTTCCATTCTCTCCTTTTGAAAATTCAAAGAATTATTGTGATTGTTGTATCTTTGTTTCTTTCTTTCTTTCTTTGTTTATTTTTTCGCTCCCACTTATGAGTGAGAACATGTGGTGTTTCTCTTTCTGTGGCTGCCTTATTTTACTTAATATAATTTTCTCTAAGTTCATCCATGTTGCTGTGAATGGCAGAATTTCATTCTTTTTTCTGCTTCTGCTTTACTTGGTTACACCAGGGCTCACAAACTATAAATCGCAAAAATGCAAACCTCACCAATTTCCCTTGTACATAAAAAAATAAACTTTTATAATTTTCTTAACATTAATGAAAGCTAGAAACAAATATAGTGGAATAAATTATTGTTATACAAACAAAAATTATAGTTTGGTTTGGTTTTAATTTTATGATGTTTTTTGAACATAAATCATTCATTTGAGATTTAGGACACCTGCGTTACATATTTGGTGCTAATGCTCAATAACTTGGCTTATCCATTTTTGTAACTACAAATGCAGTGTGTCTGGCATATAATACACAACACACCATTATGTTTAGTAAGTGAGTGGATAAATGAAGAATGTACTCATTTACTGTTATTAGTTGGACTTGCGGGTGCATTTGTGTGAGGCGTGTGTTCTGAATTTCCAAAAAGTTATTAGTGTCTTTAAAGCATAGAATTTTTGGATAGTGTTGATAAATAATTTTAATACATTAATTAAACCTTAACACATAACATATGTAAGTAATTGATATCATGCTGTTAAAACACCAAAATCGGTAAATTTCTAAATATTTTGTGATAAATAACTTTCAAAAATACTTTTTCCCTTTTTTGTTTATCCATTAAAATTGTTTATCATTAAATCTTTATTTTCCTTTTAGGTTTCTAGAGCTTTACCTGAGAAACAAGAAGAACTTGAGGCTCACATTAAAGACCTTGGGCAGCTCGAAGAGCAGTTAAATCATCTGCTTCTGTGGCTGTCTCCTATTAGAAATCAGTTGGAAATTTACAACCAACCAAATCAAACAGGACCATTTGATATTAAGGTAGGGACTTTCTGCTTTAAGTATTGTTTTCTAAAAGAATGGCAATATCACTGATATTTCTCATTCATTATAATTATTATCATTGTTAAAGCAAAAATTGTTACTTGTTAAAGCTTGGTAAGGAAGACTTCATTCAGGACCATCACAGCAGGTATAGGGGACCACTGCAATGGGGTCTTGCAGTGGGACAGAGAGACTGGGCTCAACTCCGAATACAAGGGTAAGTGGGAATTATAGCCAAGGAGCAGTGTGGGGGTTAGTGGATGGATAGTCACTAAGAGGAAGGATCAGGGGTATGGGGGTTCTAGCTAAACCAACCTAATAGGATTCTTGCTGAAGACAGGCCAGGGTGATCAGATATCACCTGGGGGATAGTGGCAGATGAGAAACCTGATCAGACATAGAGGGTGATCAGATATCAAGGGTGCTAAACTGACTTAGCAGGGCTCTTTGCTAAGAGTATTATACAAGGAAGTGCACAGACGGGCCTAGAAGAAGGTTCAAAAGGTTGACTAAAGTTTTACCACGCAAAGAATCTTTGTCAGCATTGTCGTTGCTGATATAATAATAATTATTATTACTATTTCTAGTATTTTTTCTCAGCATTTACTAGATCTAATGCCTTCATTAAACTCATATCACTAGAATGCTTGCTCTTATTTGTTACTGTGATCCATTTTCCATCCCTGCTTTAATTATACTTAATACAGATTTATAAATTCCTTATCTAAAATTGAAGTCGTTCAGGAGATTAAATGCCTGCAAAATAATATGTAGGCCCTTTAGTAGAAATTATAAAGCCCTCTCAGACCGACTCCAGTTTACCTTTCTATTCTCTTATTCTGCCAACAACCTCTCCTTATATTCTAGCCACACCAAATTATATGGTATCTTCACATTCATGTGGTTTCATGCCAGACATTTGTTCTTTATTCTTTCTCTTCTTTAAGTGACTTCTTTCAGTTTGTTTGAGCATGATGAATTTTCCTCCATCTTTCAAGACTAAGTTCACAGTCTAAGTGCCCATTCAAAGTTGTCTTCTCTAACACAAGCACAGTTAGGATCCCTGTTAGAATTTCTTATAAACCTCTTTAGCTGTCTCCTATTGACTTTGTATGTTGATTTACACTTTAATTTTACAGACCTGAATACTTCATTACACTGTTCTTCGAGTGCAGAGGGCATCCTCTTATTTATATCCTCTCCCCCACTCACTTCCAAATACCCCCAGCCCAGGGCCCAGTATATGGTGGTTACTTGTAAGTATTTTTAAGTCAGTGAGTAAAGTTGGTAACAAGGCACTGCAGGTAAGCCTAGGGCTCCAGAAAAACATGCCAATTGGACGCCACCATCTCCTCCTTTCAGAGTCTCCATATATGTCGATTGTTATCCTTCTCCCTTCTCAGGAGCCTGTTCTTAGAACTTGGCCCAACATACTGCCCTGTTTTGCATCTCCTTATGGGTGCAAAACTTGAAGTAGCCCATCAAATAAACCAAGTCAGTTCAAAGCCCAACCTATTAATTAATGTAATGTTTGTCAATTTTGGACTGAAAAAGATATGTAACATCTTTGAGTAAAGTTTTCCTTTTAATTTGTTGATCAGATTGTTAAATTTCTTTACTTTCCAGGATTATAGAAACCTAACACTTTCATCTCCATTTAGTTGCTTTTTTGCTAGAAGAGAGAGCAAAGATACAAGGAAGTTTGAGGATCATCTAGAGAAGACAAAGTGAAAGTTTGGGAAAGGTAGGCTGGAGTGAGGATAAGGAGACAGAGAGAGGTTTGCTATAACTAAAATGAGTTATATTAGCAAAGTATACTTCACTACTTTTACCTTACTTCTTCCTGGCACTTATATCTACTATTCTGATACCTACCCCCAAGAGTGGATGGCATTGTGTTAGTCACAGGTAAACAGCATTTTGCCAGTGCAAAATCCAGCCTGCTCGATGAGTGCCATGGTCATAAGTTCGGTCTGATGATCAGACTCATGAGTCACAATAGGCTTTACCCAGTAACAAATTTAGTTATCTCTAAGGAAGTATACAGGACAAGTAACAACACAGGCTGCACATTAATGGCCCAGTGGAGGTCTTGATGCCAAGGCATGGTTTTTGATGCCCCAGTCTCCCTGCATGGTCACAAAGGAAGGCTGAGTGAGCACAAAGCCCATATCAGTTCAGAGAAGCCATCAGTTCTAGGATCCTTTCAGTTTTTCCGCCTAACTAGTACACAGAGTCCTCAGAGGTATTTGACTAGCTCCTATTCACCAGTGTAACTACGTCTCATCAATACTAATTTTTCATCTTTCAATAAACAATCCCAACAAGAAAGTGCAGTTACATGGCTCAATACCCAATAACCTCAACCAGATTCTTAATTATCTTGGATCCAGTATATTCCTTAAAGTCCTTGATTTAGTATTGCAAAGAGGAAAGGCCATAAACTCTTTCCTCCCAACCAGAAGTAGCTTTTAGTAACTCACAAGTAAAAGCACATTTCTCTATATTTAAATATAATCTTTGGTTAAAATGTGCCTCTTCGTTAAAATAATGAAACATATACTCAAACACTAGCTATCTCTGTTCATGGAATATATTTGAGAGAAAAGATTTTTTAAAATCCCCTGACATATATAGATACTGTTAACTGAACCAAAGTGACTTTAGTACCAGTCTGTGCTTCCCAGAATGATTCTCAAATATTGAAAACCTGCATTAAGTCTTTGTTTGTCCATTGTCCATAGTTTTCTGCCAAAGAATCCCTGCAGTTTGGAGTAAAAGACACTCTCAGCTGTGTTAATAACTTTTCTTTATCAAAGCTACAAGTCACCACTCTCACTGCTATATGTAGTTTCAGAAAGTCATGATATTTGCCTCCTGCAGCTTGGTCTAAATCACTGAGGGGAGAGGCAGCTGCTTTTCCCTGGCAGAAAACTCCCTGGCTTCAGTCCTCTGTGCATGTTCTGAGATTTTTATCTCTGGATTGCAGATTTCAAAAATATTCCTTTAGCCTTTTTCTTCTGCTTATGGCGGTATCCAAGGCAAAAAGAACATAAAATCATACTGTATAAGTGATGACTTAAGAGTTTCTCCCAATAATTCTCAAATCCCTAGCTTGTAATCAGGAAATGGTGACCTGTGTGAATAATTTAATAACCTACCTAGTTCTTTATCTCTGTTTGTCTAGCTTCTGTCTCTACTCACTGTCTAATAAATGATTTATTAAGATCGCAGATTTCTTCTGCTTTAAAATATAGAATTTTAGTCTTTACAGCCTGCTATAGCCCTCTGCTTAAAGAGATTAAACATTTTTTTTCAATCAAAGAAAGATGGGATAATGGACTTTGCTTAACTTTACTGAAAACCAAAAAATAAAGTTTTTAAACAGTTTTGAGGAAATGCCCATTTTGATTGCAGAGAAAGAGACTGCCTGTAAAGAAAAAAAAAAAAAAAAATCCTAGGAATGAGTTAATGCAAAGAAAGTAGATGTACAAGCAGCCAGGCTCCTGGCTCCATTTCCTAAATTTCAAGATACTTTCTTTGTCTACCATGGTGGTCATGGCTACCTCTGAAACAAAGGGCCTGAGGCTTTGATACTTGGGTCATTTGTTTTCTCTAGTCAAGCTCTGAGCACCTGTTAGAAAAATATGTAATACTCTCTGTGATCCTCAGTTTTGCCTGCTTGGCACTTCATGCTTATTGATGAAATGCAGCTAGCTGTGTAATGAAACCCAAATAAAAAAAGCCTTAAGGGCTCTGTTCTAATACATTGTTTATGCTGGAGTGAAAATTGACTGCACATCGCTCGGTTTGTGCAATTTACTCCCGAAATATTCCTATTCAGGAAATCCTGCAAATAGCAATATTCATCTTAAAAATCACCTCACAGAACCCTTAGCAAGCTGAGAGACATAATCAATGAGATCATGATGTAGAGGGTGAAAATTAGGCATAATCACAGCCCTTTCCCATCAGTCAGCCCACTAGAAGGCATGCCTTTGAATTTCGATTTTCAAATGTACTCTTAATTTAGACGTAAAATATGTTGATTTCAGATTTCAGAAATGATAATTGAATGCTAAGATCCAGGGACCAGTTTAGAATTTCTATAAAGGGTCTTATGTTTTTAATCTTTAATGAATGCTTTCAATAATGATCTAGAGGTATATTACTTATCTGGTATAAAACTGCCTAACTACTGCTTTCTAACCTTTTTATTAAAATATGAAGTAGGGAGGAAACACATAATTTTATGTTAAGGCTTACTGACTGAAATACTTTCATATTGATGACAGCGAGAATTTTTTCCTCCCCTCAAGAATGACTTTCCTTCTGTGGCCTATAAATAAACACAACATGCTGCTCTGTTGGCTTTTTCTTACCATATGAGAAACATAATTGCTCATAATGTCAAATCCTTACCGAAAACTACCAAAGGACACAATCGTACTGACTGACCATTAAAGTAACTGCATGCCAAAAGCCTTTTCTACACGTGTTCACATTGCTGTGAGTGTTGTCAAAGAGAAGTTGTACTGGACAACTTAACAGGCAAGAAAGGCTTTATTCAAAACTTTTGCAATAGAGGAGAAAGATTTATTTTTTATTTTTTAAATTTTTTATTGGTTATGAATATTTATGGGGTACAAAGCAAATTGTCACCACTCGTGCCTAAGATGTGATTGCCAGATCCATACTGGAAGCATGCCCATTACCACAAATTGTGATTATATCCCGTGTCCCCCACCCAATTATCCACGACCTCCCACCCCATCCCCCGTTTGTCGGGCCTCCCTGAGCCAGAGGCCGGCAAAACCGAGTGGGAAGAGACCCCGGTCCAGCCGGGGGTCCCTTGTGGGGCTGAGCGGGAT